ATTTTTATTCGATTCCGAGGTGGAGCATGTCGAAGAGCAACTCGATGAAATCTAGGATTTACCTCGACGTAGCGAATCAGGCTTCCAAGAACCGTAGTCGAGAGGAGCGCCGTTCGTCGGATTCCCCGAGAACGAATCCTTTTCCCGGAAGGGATGGCGCCCGCATGAAAACAGAGCGCAATTCTGATCTGCTTCTGATCGAAGTGGAGTGGACCAAACCACTGACCTCGGTTCAGCTGTTCGCTTCTTGCTTCTTGCACAAACGCATGCAATACTCTGTTCTTTCAAACTGTACTTTAGTCGACGGACTCCGAAGAGACTAGTACAACGACACGCGGAGCGCAGAAAGGACCCATTCAACGGGGAACGGGGGTGGAGGGGGCAGGGTGGGGTCAGCAACATCAAGCGACAAAATGGGAAGACCCCATGCAGCTTCCATCTCTAAATGGATTTCTGCCCAACAGCAGCCTAAATGGCTTTCTCTCCAGGCGGGCAAGCGAATGAAGGGGCTGGTGTTGGACAGCGGGAACGTTTTATGACACCAACAAGCAACGAACCAACACCAAGATCACATGGGCGGGCGTAGTCAAGCATCAAGCCCACAGGCGCAATCCTCGTCAAGCTCACTTACAGACTGAGTGAGTGAGGGGCAAGACCAAGAGAGGAACGACGACTCCTCGGGCATGGGGAAGCATTACTGTCTGGCGACCGTTCGAGACGAAGAACGAAGTTGTCTTTTGAACACGAGGAACAGCAGGAGTTTGCGCTCGCGGAGTTCGAGCAGCTTACGACGGTGAGGTGAACGGATCGAATAAGTTTGTGAGACACTGACTCTCAGATCCATTGACTTTCTGATCATAAAACGCGAAGACAGAGGAAGAAATATCCGCCTAATCGGCTTTATTTCTCTCCACCTGTACGCCATCACCGCCTTAGTCTGCCTGTCTCTTCCCTCTCCTCCCGCCTCTGCCTCCATGGTCACCATTCTTTTCTCTCTCTCACTCTATCTTCTTCTCTCTCTCTCAATAGCGTCTGTATCTCTGCGCCGACAGGGAAGACGGTCTCCCGACAGGAGACTCGTCACTAATCCGTTCTCGTGGAGGGAAGACTCCTGAGAAAAGGAACAGCGGCGGCAACCAACTTTCAAAAAGAACTAAGTGCTGACTTTCCTCCATCCACCGGAAGGGTTTCTTACATCCTGGATGTCCAAGGGTACTCCGTGGGCTGCAGTCGGAGAATGAGCGGGGCTTGTCTGATTTCGGCCCGGAGAAGCTTCCCCACGTCTTGCTCCGACTGTTGTTAGAACTCGAGTTCCGTGGTCGCGACAACACCTGCTGATTGTTACCTTGCCCCACGGTCGCTCGAGTTTCCTTTCGCTCTCGATCCCTGGCATGCTTTTCCCGCCGCTTGATTGGTTTCATGGCTTTGTTCGAATGTTCGAGCCCTTGTCACGAAGCTTCAGTCAATTAAGTCAATCAAATACCATCGAAAGAGCAACCAACGCATTCGTGCCTTACCGAGCAGAGGCGGCACCGTTCGACCCGATGTCTTCGAAGTCCAGTGCGAAAGAAGTGAACAGCAAGCTCGGCATAGCTCAATCAAGTTGGAGTTTACTCTTGATTGCCTGGGGAAGAACACCGAGACTCACTTGACTTGTTGGTCAGTGGGAGGCGCACGTTTTGTTGTTTTCTTTCGGTAGATCCTTCTTCTTGTCCTGTCTTACATTGGAAGAGTTGACCACTTATCCGTTCTCTAACAACACCTTTTACCGATTCCCTGTTCACGCCCACCCACTCGGTCGGCTGTCAAGCGACTTTTCCTTTCAATTATTTCGTTTCGGTCAGAAATCGTTACCGTTGTTTACCGGATTCTTAGCTCTTGGTGCCTCTCTCATGCTTACTAGGATCAGGAGCGTGAGATGGCGTTCATGCGAGCAAAAAAATTATCGAGACAAATAGAAAGGAATGACTCATCGACAGTCTTCAACATTCTGCTAAATAAATGATCGAAGTCGCTATCCGGTACCTACTCGAATTGTTCTCTTCACAACTGGAGTCCTCTGAAAACTCGGGTCGGCAACTGGGCTCCCCTAGCCCTATCTAATACGCATTTTTATCGGGGGTTGTTGCGTGCTCCGAAACAGCAAATACAACAAAAATAACTTATTCGTTGCTCGGTTTTGCAGGTGAGGAAAAGCTGTTCCTGAGCTTGCTTCTTGCGGAGCCAAATATATCATCAGAAGGATGAGGATGACGGCAGGAACCGCCCAGGAACCTGTGAGTTAGTTCCTGAGTGAGTGAGTGCGTGCGTGTGGGTGTCAGAGACTTCGGGGTTTAGTCTGGGAGCCGATCAGACCGGCGGAGAGTTTCCCGATTAGTCTGCTTTCCGTCTCGACCACAGCCACAAATATTCCTACTCTCTAAACAAGCGGCTCGTCGAGCTCTCCGCTCTTCTTGCCTGGGACCTCGAATTGCTCCAGCTCCTCAGGCTGGCGAGCTCGGCCGATGGGGACACAGAGTCGACCGATGCGTCCGTTCCATGAATGCCGAAAAGTTCCGAATATCGAAGACGATTTTATTCCCCGTTTGATCCCACAGGAGCGGCCGCTAGTTGCAGCCGCGATGTCTTAACGGACTATGAAGGATCAGGCGGGGAATTCGAGAGATCCGTTGGTGCTTCCTATGGCAGGCATCTGAAGGGACGATGTCTTCTTTCGCTTCCATTTCCTTCGGTCTCGTCGGAGTGAGGTCGCGAAACGACCGAAAGGCTGATTGGGCGTGCGAATAGCGATCGCCGGCCGACGAGTAGGGATATGGCGCTCGGGGGCCCAACCTGGGTACACAACCGATGAGATCGCAACGACGACGTTAGTTGATCTGAAGAAAATGCTGAAAGAGACTTCCATTCCGCGTCGCCAGCCCCGCGTAACGCGCATCGAAAAAGTGCATGCCGTCGGCTCGGGATCGTCCTCCGCATGAAACTTCTTCTTGCGCACAGATACATACAATACGCGACGAGGATCGCTGAGAGCCGAAACTCTTCTGAGGGACTTGCCGGCTCGTTCGGTGGATCGCCCGCCCGCTCGCTCGCTCCTTCTCCAGGACTTAGGAGGCGTTGGCGAGTAGGCGCTCCCAAATTCAGAATCAATACTTCAGCTAAATCTAATAGTCGACGAGAGAGAACGGGAGCGTGGGAAGACCAAGTTCAACTGCGCGGCTTCTATTCTCAACGAAAATAATTTCGCCATCAGACGGTTCCAATCCGCTCCGCGTACATCATGAAAGTCAGGCCCGAGAGGTATCGACAGGTCGTCCGACCCAATGCCGCCTTATAAGTTCTCCTTTTCCGCTTCCTCCCGTCTTCTGCTCCTCCTTTCGGCGGCGAATTCATCCTCTATTCAGAAACTGGTTCCGCCTTTGAACGGTGCTCTTAATTTCGTTTGACCCCTGGAAGACAGCCGTAGATTGATCGTTCCCCTGGGTGGCCGTCCCGACCGGCTCTTAAATAACTGCCGTCGTCTGAAGTCCGTCGACATTACCTCAAATCCAACTTGCGCTTCGCCCTGCACCGGGCTCTCCTCTAAAGCTGATTGAGCTGTCGTTGACCTTGGAAATCGTCCCCACACTTACCTGATGGCTTCTCCGATCCAAGTTCCAGCGGAGTGTGTTGTCGAAAACTGTGCCACGGGTCCGACGAGCCAAGCCAGCGTACTCGGAGTTCGTAACGCTTAGTGCGGTTTCTGCGACGCGTCGTCCCGTTCGTGACGCCCACCGACATTTTCGATTCCGAATCTGAGTTGAGGTGCAAAGCTGCGAAGCGCTTCGAGAGAGCGATCTTGACTTGGAGAGTGGGAGAGTTCTCTGGCTCGGTTGGCCGACTCATCTAGGGATGGAGTTACAGCGCGAATTTCATTCCGAACCCGCCACCCATCGGGTATCCAATGGGGATCGACAGCATCCAGCAAACCCTCTACGAGCCCCATCTGCTTCCCTCTAACGCTCGTACCAACGCGACGCTCTATCCCCGAGCTCTCCCTGGCTGCTGCGCAAGCTGTGGCTTTCGGAAGCCAGAAGAACCTTGTAGCCTAAGAGCTAGAACTTAACCGCATCCAAAAGCAATCTCTCCACATGACGACATCTCCCTCGACATGTTTCTCTAGGGGGCTACCGCACATCTTGAAGACATGTGGGCACAGGCCGACCGGGTCCCAGAGTTGTCGTAGTACTCTCTGCCATGTGTGTGGAGACTAACTGGCTCTCTAAGAAAGTGAGCAAACCGGCGCCATCCACTAGAAGTGGGTCCGTCCGTCCATCTATCCATCCAGGGAGTCTGTCGTTGCATCCGCGTGGTGGTCGGGATCCGTAAGAGTCTTAGAACACCAGCAGCGGTCGTAGTCGCAGCTCATGAGCGACACGAGTGCCGCTGCCAGCATGAGAATGACTGACTGAGACGACGACTGCTTGGCCGGCGGCTGCGGCCGCCGCCGCTTCGAGACAGTGTGTAGAGAGACAGTCGATTCGAGCGGGCACGCAACGAGAGGACCTAGAACGAGTGAGTGAGCGAGTGAAGAGAAAGACAGTCAAACGTGTGTAAGCGGACCGGTGACACAACCAAGTGGAACCCTTGAGCTGGAAGGTGTGTGTGTGTTTCGTCTCGGTAGAAAGCTCGAAAATCTCACAGACTAATTTGTTTTCGTCTCGCCCTCGATCCGATTGGATCCCTGAATCATTTCACTGGAAGTTCGTTGATGCTCCGTTCCCGACGCGGAGCACTGGTGCCTGTGTGTGTGTGTTGTCAAGTGTAGGAGTAGTCGAGTGAGCAGCGCTTGTGGTCAGTGTCCGTTGTTCGAAACGTTGACCAGGCGGGAGAAATTTGACAGAGTTCCAAGGATTAATCCGAATAATTCAGGAAACAAGGCTGGAATATTGTGACGAGAAATTCGGCGGCAAGCGTTTTCCGGGTGATTCGTTTGTTGTCTCCCGCCAGGGAAGGGACTCATAATGTACAGATACAGTGACCAGGCCAACACGTATGTGGACTTCAAGGGTTTCTACCGTGAGGCCGACAGCCCCGACGAGCTAGAGCCCCTATACGCTCGCATCGGACAACCAGGTATTGATCCACGAAAAATCATGTTCTGCAGTGAATTGTACGGAAATCCTCCGACTTGATACTTATTGAGAATGAGATCCTCGGCGAAGTTCCTGGCCTAGGGATCCTTCCACCTCACGTCCGCAGAAGAATCAGATCCTCGTATACAGATTAACTTCCACGTGATCTCAAGGTGGGGAGAGGCGTCGTGAACGTTTTCTTAAGCCAGACGTGAGGCTCTAAACGTCTCCGGTCGGACTAACTGTTCCTTTGGGGTTAGAGTTTCGATTCTGCTTGTCCTTCGCCATCGCCGCTCAGATGATGAAATGACGAGTAGGTACTCATCCTCGGTCGTTCGACGTCGAGGCGGCGGCAGTGGCGACGCCTCCCCGTCGATCGAATCAATGGACGAGCCGATGAATGGAAGGATGAGCTAACGGACGGGCGGCATGGCTCCTGAAGCGCGTCGAAATGTCCTCTCGGTAAAGACGGACGAGTCGGGAACAGCATGAAGAATCAGGGTATGGTGCACGTCATACTCGGCATTGAATTCAAGGAAAGAGCTCTGGGAGAAATTGCGCGTTCGCGCCCGAAGAGATGCTCCTCGACCAGCTCGAAAGATATGCGTTCGTCGGCTCCAATCTCGGGAGGATCGTTCGAGTGCCTGCGACAAAGAAACCATTGAAGAGCTACGGTCGTTCTTGAACATGATCGTGTTCGCCAGGTTATGCCTATTCGTTTCTTTGTTCGTCTCTCTTCGAGTGGGTTCACGAATTCGATAGACTGCTCCGGGAGACGCTTGGTCGATCGTCGACGCCGCGCTCGTAGGAACCGGAATCGTGACAACGTTGTCACTCAGTGTGATCCGACCGAACGGAAACGGTGGTCTATCATCGTCACTGTGACCGTCAAAACGCCCGGCTGCTCGGTCGGCGGACAGACGGCCGTGTTTCTTCTTTCGTGTTGAGCTTCGACTGTGATCGTATCGGATTGTAATTTCGGGAATCAAGGCGAGCCGGAATCAATTGATTTCTTGTCTTGCTTGAAAGATTCGCATGGCGACCGACGAGACAATTAACTTCCTGGCAGTGATATCTCACGCTCTTGGAGATTATACTCATTGTCTCTGTGCACAGCTCTCCTCCTCGATAGCCGCGATAGCTCGCAGTCTCAGCTCGAGAATTTTTGAGCAAAAAATGATACGTTGCTAGATTTCGAGAACGCTTCCGATACTGAGCGTACCGAGAATGAAAGCTCGCTGCCGTCGACCAAGTTGTCCGCTATCGCAGCGTGCCTAATGGTGCCTCGGAAAACTCTTCTTCTTGTTCGCCTTCGAGATTGCGGAGCTTCTCCATTGTCAGCTTTTTTCCCCAGCGGTTCCGCTCCCTAGGTTTCCCTCCGGAATCCCTGGAAGACTGATAAGACGCTTGCTCAAGTTCGAGCGGTGTCGCGAGCGACATTTACTCGAACGAGTTCCGCGGGAAACAAGTGAATCAGAGGTTTGAGCCACGGACGAAGACAAAGCAGACACGGAAAGCACGACACAGTTCGTGGAGCAGAAGTCTTTGCCCGTGTAGGCATCGAGTTATCTAAAATATGTCAAGCAGACGATGACAAGGACGAAAAGCGAGACCGATATGGGCGATTCCGTTCAAAAATGTAGAAACATCAGAGAGAAGCTCTCGTCCAACAATGTGAGCCCTCACTCACATGCAGATCGAAGGTGACAAGTCACCGGCCGAACTCAGGCGGAGTGCCGGAATTCGGACAGTCGATGTCCCGATTACCCTCATGGATTGGAGATATGCATCTCGTTTCCGCGTCCTGCGTTCTTCGATCCTTTGAAGGCAGACCGACAAACCCGGCCCTGGTGTCCCACCATCACCCCATCTGAGAATCATCAGTGGAGTTTGTCCCACGATCAGAGCAGGAAGTTCCACTGTATAACATCGACAAGACTTGTGCTCTTGAAAATGACGAGCTCGGGAGCGTTAAGAGGAGCCATTCAATTTGTCAAGACCTGAACGCTTGGGCATCACCGGCTCCTCTCTGAGTAGACAAGACCACCCTTTCGCTTCCAGATTGCTTTCCGGTGCACCATTTTCCCTTTAAAAACTCCCGGACACAGTGCTCTATGATTTGCGGAATGACGTCAGTCGTTGAGGTCAAGTGACTCAAGAAATAGAATCAGGGCCAACTCGGCCTTCGGCCTCCGCCTGTTCTCAGGTGCTCGGGTGTCTCATTAATTCGCAATAGAATCTTTCTCCCTTCACGGAGGCCCCTCCGGGAAATCCGCGTGGGAAATACTTTCCTCCGAGAGTGCTATCCGCGGCCCGAGGGATCGACAATCATTAAGTGACGACACAGATTGGAGAGCGAAGGAATGCGACGCACGACGTGTCAGAGCCTGCGGAATCACGAGAATGAATTCATACCATCATCGAGAGGAATCAAATAGTTTCCAAACGATACGCTTTCCGGACGGGAGCTTCGGGCAGGGGATTAGAGGAACAAGTTCGGAGCTTTTCAATGTCACACCGGCAGGCACTCGTCAGCCGTTCACAAAATAGACGTGCCTAGCAATGTGTTCTAATTATCAGCGGGAGTGAGCATCCGAGCTCCTGCTAATACGGTCTCGACACCAGATAGGCCGTCGGCGGTGCCGCATGCAGAGGGTAGAAACAGATCGGGACTTGCTGTGCCATGAGAGCGAAGTTTTTGTTGATTCAATGCTCTATGAGAGCGGGGAGCATGATTAGTAATTCCGCGGTCAGCCGACCAAGCGAGTAGACGACGTTCGACTCACCAGACCTACGACGAGTCGCGCACTGAGGAGAGCATTCAAGTCTTTCACTGTCACTCGATGACATGCCGAGGATGAGATCTAATTAAATATAGACCTCGTTGGAAGAACGGTATAAAAATTCCGGCTTCAACCATTCGCGTTATGCCCTCGGGAGACAAGGGCGAGCGAGGCGTTCTTATTTACCCTTATTGCCTCATTTCCCTGAAAGGAGCTGAGGCGGCATGAGCAAGAAAGAAGTTCCGGCGAGGAATCGGGCGTGGAGAGCGGGAGTCGAACTCCGATGTCCTGGGGTACGGGATGTCCTGGGTGTCTCGAAAAAACTTCACGATCCCCAGGCTCAGCACTGGCACATTCATTTCGCTCTCCCCCCTCCCCTCCCAGCCTTACAAATCAGTTCTGTAGTTATCGCGAGATCGGAAATATCCGCCCTCAATCATCTTTCGTTGATCGAGGGAGGAATGGAGGCCGGCATACGCTTCGTGGACGTTTACGCCTTTTTGGGTTGGTTTGCTCGCGTCCGATAATCGAGAGTCATGCTCACAAGGAACGTGCATGCATTGTGAGCAGAAAAAAGTGTAGGGAACGATTGCACGCCGACTGTAGGAAGGAGGAACGCTTCTTTCATATCGAGAAGATTCGCGGACCCTGCCGAGAATATCGCTCTTGTTGAATTTCCGTCTCTGAGCGTTCGCTCCGCGAGGAGCGAGAGCAAGCAGGAAGGACAAAAAGGAAAACCTCATCGGTATCAACCGGTGGAGGGCGAGCGAGCGGTTGGGTGCCGACGTTGCGAGGACACTGAGTGAGACTTCTAAATGGCAGTCTTGCATAAAAGAACCGGAGAGCAAGAGAACCATACGAGGAGGGATATGATCCGCAAAAAGAGAATCGTTCCTTTCGGACGATGTCGCTGCTGCCAACGCCGCCGCGAGATACGCGGCTTTCTCTGCTGGAAGAAGCGTTCCTGCCGCAGTTGCCAACGCAGTCGTCGATCCACGCGATCTCCAAAGTGCCCCGGCCACGTCGGAAAACAGAGATCGCTGTCGTCTTGCTTCTTCCTATCGCTCTTCCCCGTCTGTTTTCCCTCCATTTTCCCCGTGAGCCTCGAATCACGCTCCGGGAGTCGTTCCAGTGGATGAATCCCCCCTTCCCTTACGGACGTATTCTCGAGGAAGATCGGATGATCCAATAATTTGACCTCTGGAAAAAAACGCAAATCCGGAAGCGATAGAGAGAATTGAGGAGAAGGAAAAGACCTCAGCGTAAATAAGAATCGGACCTCAAACAGGGACAAATAGCCGGAGCACCCGGGTAAATGGATCGTGAGATATGGAGTTCAAAATCGCTTAGCCAAAAATATATCATGAATATGCAGGAGCATGACTCAATGGCATAATTCAGGAGAGTCTGCATTACTTCGAAATTCCTCGACTGATAAACTCCAAGAACGTCAGACAGAGGAGAAGATGAATGGTCTGAGTCATTTTCTGCTGAAGGGCACGTCCCTGTAGCCGGAAACATTCGTTCCGCTCAAGAGCGAAAAAAATCCCCATCTGAGGTTCCGACTCGTCTGAACCAACAACGAGCAGTCGCTTGGCTTCCCGGAGAGATAAGTCTGGCAGCGCTGGAATTTCCTCCAACACGTCCTCTGGGAGACTTCCCTCGCACGCTCAGTGGTCTCGTGGTTCCACTTCGATATTCCGGCACGACCCGATTCCAGATGACGAATGCTCAGCATCCGGGATGATAGATGGTGCGCTTCGTCATGCGCTGGAATGATTTCCAGGAAAATTACGGTCTTCGGGGTCGACTTCGAGGACGCTATGAACCTTTAGATAGGACGGGGGGGAGGGGGGTGGGAGCCTTGTCTAAGGATTCAGGGATTCTCCTTGAATCTGGCATCCTGATCTATAGGGAAAAAGCGGGCGCGAATCCAACTCGGTTTTTATCGATGAACGTAGGTAAGATTCGAGGTAGAGAGGTTAGGCAATCGATCAGGAAATATTCACGACGATATTGTCTACGGCGCACGCCGGGATACCAATCCTGAATCAAGAGGAGCGTAAAGAAACGGAAACCGCGAGTAGCCAAAGGAGAAGACGCCCCGACCGAGAAGCGCCTAGCGAGAGACGGCGGGAGCATTGCCGTGTGAGCGTCTTTTGTGTAACTGTCTCGGATACAATACAGTCACAATACCGACA